TAATGCCAAAATATAATGCAATCAGTCTACCCATTCTTCTATATACCTTATATAGTGATTTCCAACATTTCTCYGATTTCAAAATGTTTGCTGGGTCAATACGTGTGAAATTTTATTTGAATTAAGTCGATTTTTCTAAGAAGTTTTGTACTTAATGCTGAATTTCAATAAAATTAGTTTAAAACTTGATCTTAACCTCACATCATTAACGTAACCATTTTTAATGCTCTGACTGCCATTTTCCAATATATTTCATTTAGCATTTTTGGCTGAATTTATACCGCATACTATATACCCGAATATCATTTGAATTACTGAGGTTGATTTTTATATAAATATCACTGAGACGAAGCAAAATATGTTAATAAAGATGTGCCTATTGTCTATAATATAAATGTAATGTATAATATAATACAATTATTGAAATTTTATACAACATTTTCTAGTATAAAGTTTTGCTACACCTGCAAGTATTTCCCCGTCTTTTATCTTGACAAATTGCGTAGTATACTTAAAATGTTCGGTTACAACCGATTTAGTCCTTCCTTACTTGTTTTTRTATTCCTTTCAAATCCAGTATGGAAAGACTAGTACCTTTTGCAGATATCAAGGGTATTAAGTTATCAACGAATTATTCCGAGGTAAAATTTATAGCTTATTAACATGGATAAACGTTTAATGACTTACGAGTACTCCTGCGTATATGTACGTAGATGTGTTAATTCTAATATATGCATGTATGTATATAAAAAAATGTACAACATACGCACACTCGAAAGTTTTTGCGTGACAATTTTGTAGCATTTTGGTAAGRCTAGACGAAAAGGCGGCAGCATTTTTAAATTAATAAAGTTACCCGAGGCATGAGCAAAAGTAAGCAAAAGTAAATATAATAGASGTTTGGATATAATATATGTACATGCTAAGTTTAAACAGCCGAAAATATATTGTATTTGTTTAGGCTTGGGTGCTAATACTTATATGGATTTTATACTCATATATACATATCGTCACGTGAAATGCAATGTTTAGTAGTTCATGCTAAAGTATAACTATAATTTTTGATACACAGTTTCATAATTCATGTAGAACGTAAATAATAACTTAAAATAAAATGTAATATATTCCCTCTTTGTATATGATTAGTACTGGGTCAAAAGCTTTTTAAGGGTATAGTCTACATAGGAACAAAAATTAATAAATGGAAAGATGAATACTTCGGAATTTTCATGAATTACTTACAAAATTCAAACATATCACTAATTATTTTWAAATTTTTAAAGTTTTTATACTTGTACATATTACCTAAATTTGAGCAATAATCATAATCATAATTTTGTAATAATATATCATGAACAATAAAAGTCGTTGACTTTGTTGAAAATGTAGGATTCATTGATATTAATTAATATTTTTTCTTTGCTGAGACATATTATCTTTAATTTATATTGTGCAACTAATTTCTAACGATATAATTTTATATATGTACATGTAAGTACATGTTTTAACAAATAACTTCGAATATGYATTCATACATATATAAGTAACATATGCTTCTACATATATGTATATCTTTAAGTGTGTATTTGAAAATGTGTATTCGAATTCCCACAGAACCACGCCCTGTCTGCGCACGATTATAGGTGTGTGCTTGGTGTTTTTGTCCTTCTATGTGATATTTGTATATATAAATGTGTAGATGGCGACGGCAATGGTAGCGGAATCGGCAATGCAATGGCTCGGCTATGCGATAGCTCGGCTACAGAAAACTCATACAACAGGTAAACCGTCGGGCAGACAGTTTGTACGGTTAGTGCGCATATACCCCTAGCTCTACTTCTTATTCATAAAGCAAAGGAAGTGGTGCAATTTATAAATAAATACTGATATGAAATAAAGAAGGGAAAAAGTGTCTATAAGTAAATGTGTACCTTCCACAGCGTCTCAAAGCTAAACATTTTCATGATAAAATGGGTATAAAAACTGACCCGAACAGGTATTTTAAAGATCTTAATTATTAAAGTAAAAACAAAACACATCTTACATCCAACTGTTTATGATCAAAAAGTTTTTGAATAAAAAGCTTGCTACACAGCGGAAAGATCAGAAATCAAAAGTAACTCATGACATAGGTACAAAAAAAAGCAAACAATGTTTGTGAATGTTTTTTCTCTGTGCAATAAAAACTTTAGGTACTAAATTGTTTGTCGAAGGACATAACTTTCTTGGTAATATTTTAGTCGTATTACAGTGCTCAAAAGCAGCTTAGAATAACATAACTTCTTATTTGAATTGAAGTGTATGTGGGTGGCATGTGGTTCATATTATATTACTTATCTATCTGTTGTACTAATGTTTATATTTTAAGAATTATTAATAGATTAGCCTGGAAATACACGTAATACAATATACTATATTTGAATATATTAATAAACTTATTTGGAAATGTAACACGTTACGTCATATAATATACAATCCTTGGCTATTTAAATATGAATAAGGATATTGAGTACTATATTAAGCAATTGTATAAAGTAGTGTTTGTCAGGACTGCGAATAAAGAAAATAAACTTAGAAAGAACTATTTTATAATATACTACCAACGCATGTTAGAAACCCTATTTAAGTCTTCTATATAAAGTACGGTTCAGATAAGCAATATTAGGTGAATAAATTGCAAGCGTTAAATTCAAAAAATATTCCTTCACATTAATGACATACGAATAAATTAAATATTAAATGTATTGTATTTTTTTAGTAGCAGATATTATAATATATTATAT